ATAGTGTGAATGTCATCCTACCTCACTATAACCAATGTCCAAGAGACAGATTGTTATAATACTCAATAAAAAAATAAAAAGTTACCAAATAGTTGTGATAATATAGAGGGCGCTGACAGTAACACTGTTCTTATCATTTATGTTTTAAAAAGACAAAACTAATAAAAGGTATAGCATGATCTGATACTAATTGCAAATTATTATGTAATTCATATATTGTTAGTGTTATTAATTAACTGTTAATTAACTGTAAGAGACTGTCATATAATCCTGAACTCATAATAAGAATATTTAGATCTTGATAAAATATTTACGTATCTACTTAAAGATATTAGCTTAGCCAACTAGTCTACTTTTCTTAATTTCTTAATCAGTTTTAGTTTATATATATTTTATTCATTCATGTAGCTAGTTAACAATTTTTTTTTATTTCAAATTATTGGAGGGGAGGAGGGGGAGGGGGGGGTTAAATGATATTCTCGCCCCCTCAACATTTTTATTGGGGGGAAGGATATCGCTCCCCACGCCCTCCGTGGTCTGCCTCTATGTCTGTAATCGTTTCAATTCTCCGGTTGACTCATCCTTCTTCGGTCCGAATATTCTACCCAGTTCTTAATTTATACTTATTGTTTTATTTATTTATTTATGCTCCATTTATTCGGTATGAACAAATTTCTTAATCAAAATAAGCCTGTAAAAAATTAAATCGGAATTTTCCCTCCTCACTGCTGAATACATCGAAATGCGAAACGGAATAATGGCTGAGGCCGACCATCAAACAATAGTTATGTTCCTGGCGGGCGTTCTAGGAACTTCGGAGCTTACTGTGAACACAAGTTCTTTGCGAATTCATCACAGCTTACTCAGCCATAAGGTGTTCTATTAAAGCAAAATAACGCTCGTCCTCATACGTTTTATTCTTACAATGAAATAGTCAGACATTGTTCATCAGGTTCCAATTTCTGCCACACCCACCGCACAGTCCTGAAAACCCCGACTCGCTCTATCCCATTGTCAATTATTTTATTCCTTGGGCCCAATTCGTTCAAGTGAAAAATAAGTTTTAAATTTTTAGTGCCGTTAAATTGGAGTGCAAAAGTTTTCTCGATAGCAGTTCCAAGGAGTTGAATTCAACAACTGGATCCAAGATGCTCGACAAAAGTGGATTTAATGAGCAAACTTTTTAATATTAATTTTGTTCTATACTAGTTGGCCCGTCCGAACAATACGCCAAAGTAAACTAGTATATGAACAAATGGTAAAATAATTATTAATTAAGTAAATAAAACTATGAAACGTATAATAAGAAGGAATTGATGGGGGGGGGAGAAGTGCTGTCAAATAAATACTAAATTTTTAAAAAAATAGTATTTTTAATTACGCCGACTTTTCGATCCATCTTGCAGGTCTTCATCAGGGCTACAAAAGATACAAAATATAAAAGGTACAAGGTAAAAATAAAATAAATAAATTATAAGTAGATATTAAATAAGAAACTGTCGTCTGATAAAGAGATAATAAGATGACATCAGAGATATAGTAGTGATCTCTGTAACCACATATCGGTGTAGTTAAAATATCAAGTAATATATATATATATATATATATATATATATATATATATATATATATATATATATATATATAAGATACAAACAAAAGTAGAAAATAAGTATGAATGAGTCTCGACAAATAAAGAAATTTCTTTCTATATTTGTCAACACTCATTTTCTTTATGAGTTATGTTAACCTATAGTTATCAAATGTAATCTTTACCAGTTTGTTATACACTAATTTCTTATCTTTTATCACAATCTGTTTACTTTTAACTTACACGCTATATTCTTCATTGTTTTCCATCTCTCTCTCTCTCTCTCTCTCTCTCTCTCTATATATATATATATATATATATATATATATATATATATTTGACATTTTAAATACACTGTCACCCACTATATCTTCCCTGATGTCATCTTATCATTTCTTTATGAGACAACTGTTTCTTATTTAGTATCTACTTATAATTCATTTATTTTATTTTTACCATGTATCTATTATATTTTGTATCTTTTGTAGCTCTAATAAAGATCTACCAGGTGGGTCGAAACGTAATTAGAAATACTATTTTTTTTTTAATTTAATATTTAATATTTTGGCTTTCATTTAGACCGAAGACTAACGTGGAACCCACATACTAGACTCAAAAGACAAGAACTCAACCGACGATACGGCCAGCTATACAGACTACTAAACAGAATATCCAAACTTTCTATTGAAAACAAATTACTTATCTACAAGACAATACTGAAACCTATATGGACATACGGACTTGAACTGTGGGGAACAGCAAAAGCTTCTAACATCAAACGTATTCAATCCTTTCAATCTAAAGTCCTTCGAACAATAGTTGATGCTCCGTTCTATGTAAATAACAAAATCCTACACCATGACCTTAATATCCCATTTGTCCTAGACCTTATTCCAGAAAAATTTTTCAAATTTCACCAGAACCTTACCTATCATCCAAATCCCCTTGCACAATCTCTATCCAGCACCACCCATCCTTACAATCCTCCTCGAAGGTTGAAGTGGCAGTGGCCCAGAAACCTTTTGTAAATAAGCATCTATTGGAATTTTGGCAATGGCCAGATCCTCCACTCAAGCCCGAGTGTGTATGATTAGGTTAGTTCTTTGGTTTATATACATTTATTTTATTTTATTGTATTTATTTCTATTTTATTTTAATGTATTTATTATTATTAAGTTTCTGTATTATTTTTTTTTTTTTATTGTAAATAGAGTGTGAGCGTGCTTTCTCTGAACACTATTATAAATGTCCTTGATGTGACAGAATGTAATATTTCTAAATAAACAAATATATAAGTTAGGAATATTTATTTGACCGCACCCCCCGACCAATTCCTTCTCATATTATATCACGGTCAACCATCTCTACATCATTATAATTGGACGAAAGAATCAGTTCTTATTCCATCGGAATTTATAATCAACCAAGGAAAAGGAAGTCAATTTAAAACTTCATTCATGTTTTATACCGACATATTTACGAATTAAAATAAGCTTATCATTGCTAATAACGGTCTAATTTCGAGGATTCTTTTCATGCAATCCATAAAATGTAAACATTTTGAATTATTCGCAAAGTTTCCTTTCCTTCGTAACTTCTTTGCCTGAAATTTAGGGATCAAAATTATTGCCCAATCATTTGATTTGACAAATAATTAACGAAGGTATGTTTTAACTGACAAACAAATCACCTTTGAGAAATAATACAAACTGTTTCTCTTGTCTGATCTTGAAATTATTTGTCATCTAATCCAGGATGCAATTATTTAAAACATATTTATACTACCCCCTCTCCCATCCCCATTCTGTAGAAAAGAGAATTAGAGTTTGCCATATCTAATGAATCTCAGTTCTGCTTTTCCTCTTATAGTTGGAGGAAAAATTCTGGCTTGGGATTCCCTGCCTGATTGCATATAGGTATGACTATGTTTTTATGTTTTAATTTACTTATCTTTAGGTTGTTTTATTTTTTATTGTACATAATTGATTATTATTATTTAGTTATTATTTTACTTTTGTTTATTTTATATTTTCGGCATATATGGTGTGAATGTGTTCATATATCAGTATAATTATTGTCCAGGTGACAGATTATTATATTTCTAAATAAAAAAATGAATCTTAGCCATCCTATTCGGTCTGATTGGTGACTTTATTCCGCTCGAAGTAATTCTAACGAGATGATAACATGATCAGAGTTAATTGATTTAGACTTAAACCTCTTATCTCTATTGTGCTGTGTGTCATTCAAGTAATCCTCAATCAAAGACTATTCAATCGTATATGAGTCTTTATTTCATTTTCGTTACTAATAGACTTAATAGAATATATTATTTAATTTCTTCTTTCCCCACTTTCGGAGGAAAAATTGACGCTCTAAGAACTCCTCCCTCCACAGGCCAGTTGCTTTTATTTGTTTTTTATCGTACTATTTAAGTTAATTAATATTGATTTCATCTTTGGTATTATTTCTTTGTTGTTTTTCTATTTGTTTGCTATTATCATTCAATAAGTAGTAATTAACTTACTTTCTTTATTGAATATTAATACAATCTGCCAAATTAAAGGGCATTAATATTAATAAATGATTCATTCACACAATATGTTCATACAATTAATAACTAAGATTACAATAATAAAGAAAAAGAAATATAAAATAAGTAAATTGATATGTCTGTGTTCAAAAAAAATGAAATTATAGATAAAAGCTAAATGAAATTAAAGTAAATAAAACACATTCATACCTAGAAGTAGTTATTAATAATTCGTTTTTTTTTTTCACTATTAATATATAATATTTAAAAGATACAAACATTTTTATGTTATCTCTACTATTTGGTGACTTGACACCTTCTTCCACCCCCCACTTCCGCCCCATAAATAAAAAAAAATTTAATGGTTTTAATAAATTTTAAAAAGAAAAAATATTGATCCGGCTTACCTATTACTCTCTACAGTGGATATAATGCCATGGAGACAGAAGCTGTGTAGTTAGATTTGCGGTGTCATTGTGAAATATACAACACCTATGAATCACGCTGAGCTCTGTTACGGGATTTAATTTCCAGGATTTATTAAGGTACACAAATTTTACGGGATTATTTAGAGCTGGCACTGGTAGCTGGTAGCAATAGATTTTGGAACGTTCTAGCTGTATTACCATATTATGGAGAGAAAGAGCAATCGTAAAAAAAAAAAAAATATTTAACGAAAAAACGATACTAAGGATATAAAAACAATTAATTTATTATTTTAGTGGTTTAAAAAACTATCCTTGAAACATAAACAAAGTTTATTGAATTACCTTTTTTCAAGTTTCAAATAATTATTGTAAATAAAGTAAATTTAAATGAAGTCATAGATTGAGTTTTATGTTGTATGAATATTGACAAAGTCATAGAAAAACTTACCACATCAATAACAACCACTATAAATGACAACACTTCCGTCAGTAAAAGAAATAACTCACGACATATTAACTTACCACTGCATATTCGAATCTTATTAAGGTAAAATGGCCTTGGTAAACTAATCTATTTAGTAGTATGGTTAGTCTCCCCACCACTTTTACCTTAGTCCTCGGTCTCATCACCACTTTTACCTCAGTCTCCCCTCCACTTCTCGTGATTGAATATTTTCGGAAATCCGCAAGTCATGTCCATCATTACTTCAATCAGTACCTTACACAATCAATCATAACGTCAATAGTGCCTCGGAATGCAATTCCGAATGACCGTGTAGGGTCCGCATTGGGTATTGTTTGAGGGCAGTTATGGATTTTCGTGTGATGTGAGGTACATGATGTGGAATAATATAGGTTTGGAAGCGATGTCAATATATTTTTTTATTTAAAAAAAAACAACATGATTTATTGGATACAATAATTATTAACTCTGAGATATCCAACTAAACGTTCGACAAGTGAAACATTGTGTCATATTACCGGCTAATGTAAAATGGTGAGTTTAATAGAATAAACTTTGCTAGTTGAGAAGCTGATTCGATTCCCGAGTTCAAGCAGTAAAAGCCCATTAGCTCTGCCATTATCGTTAATGAGCAATCAATGGAAAGAAATTACCTGCGGACTCCAAGGAACAACTAAGGTGGAATTACGGTCGGGTGCAAGTGTACCGCAGGTTCAGTCAAGGAAACATAAGTATTGGACACATTGACCATAAATACAAGAGTTAATAACAGAGATCCCAATATTATTTCACTTAGCTGTTGGTTTATTCGATTTATCTTTTAATTCTAGTTTTATATACGTAACCGTTAACGCTCCGGCAAAAAAAAAAATAATCAGGACAAAGAAACGTACGAGAATATGAATACAGCACCACCAGCGGATCCAGGATTTAGTTTTGGGGAAGGCTTCAGGCCTAAAGTTTTTTTTTTTCATATATATGAAGACAATTACTTTGGAAGAAAAGAAAGATACTAACTACCTATATGAAACGGTCTTTACGTGATTATCGAAGTCCTATTAAATTAATTAAACGAACACTAATACTTTAAAAAATGATTTTTTAAAATATTTTTTACCATGGAGCATGGTTATATTTTAACATTTTGGGGGGGCTTCAGCCCGAAAGCCCTCCCTTTCCTCCTCCCATAGATCCGCCTGTACCCCCTTACAGCACGTACCAATCTAAACATTTTTTTTTTTCTTCAGCACATCTAAATTTCATGTAGCTTCAAGAATGGTGTCAAAACTGGAGGATTAAAATAAATTCCAATAAATCCCATCAAATCACCTTTACCTTCGCCGTAAACCTATCACCTCCTTTCCTACAGTATGCTTTAATAAAACCCCACTTATCCCTGTTGAACAAATCCTATTCCTTGGACCCCCCTTGGACAAACAACTAACTTGGAATCCTCATAACAGACTGAAACGACAAAAAACCGCTCGACGTTTCCGAATACTCCAGCACTTTCTAGACAATCGCTCTAAGCTTCTAGTTAATTACAAAAGGCTCATTTACATGACTACAATAAGAACTATTTGGATTTACGAAGTTAAGCTTTGGGGCGCCTTTAAGCCATCGAATTTCTCTCGTACCAAATCCAAAATCCTCAATGCTCCTTAGTTTGTCACAAATAAAATTATCCATAACGACCTTAATGTTCCTTATGTTTCTGATCTGGCCAAATCCAGATACCCATCCTTCCATAACAATCTTCAGAACCATCCGAACCCACTCGTTTCTAATCTTGCTTCCTCCTCGATCCCTGATCTGAAATGAAGATGGCCTCGAGATCTCCCGTTCTAAATATATTTCTGTACATAGTATGAGTAACTTCTTTTTAGTCATCACAAGTTAATAACTGAATTACAAAGTCTTCGGTCGAGGAAAGCTTCCAGAAACCATAAAAAATATAAACCCGGCTCCCTTTAAGAATGCATTACTCTTTCTCTTTTTATTAAAACCTGAAGGATATTAAATCGGATTATAGAAAAGAGTGACCGACTTAGATTGATAAAATTGTTAACAAGGTTTGAATAACAAAAGATTAATTCAGTTTGAGATCAGAAGAGGAGGAAGAGACCATAGAAGGGAGGGAGATAATGGAATTACTTTCCAGGAACTGACCAAGAGGTGTTTTTTTGCTGGAGGAAGGTAGGGAGTATAATGGTTACCACAGGTTTGGGGGGAAATACTACTTTTTCTGTGGGTGAAATTTTAGCAAATCTTAACTGTTTTATATCTTGAATCCTTTTCATTAAAGGAACATCTTATGTCCTGTAATGCAGGGCATGTATCCAGATGTTCTCCTGTCATCATGTCTAAGGAACATAGAGGGCATGTCGGGCTATCTTTTACACCGATGCGGTGGAGGTGCTTCTGAAGGAGATCATGGCCTGTGAGCATTCTAAAGCATGCCACGGCTTGCCCTCTAGGGAGGTCTCTAGGAATCCTGCCACTTTCTTTCAGCAATCCACTCCATAGTTTCCCTTCCATTGTTTGTACATATTTCTCTTTACAAATCATTAAGACTACTAAAATAAAAAAAATCCTATTAATTATATCAACGGTAGACAATAAAAACCTCGGTACTCCATTTGTGCTAATTGTATTCGCTTACTAAAAGGAAATTACGAGTTTTCCATTGCCTGCCATAGACAGGTCAAAAGTAGTCACACTAATTTTAAGTGGATAATGTTTGGATTTCACAAAGGGTAAATTCATCATATTATTCAATAATTTAATTTTCTAAAAGATTACATGACAATTTTTTCGGAATAAACGGACGTTGATATCTAATTATTTAAATATAATATCAGATCTAGAATTATTAAACTACAGTAAATTTATTTGAGGTTAAAAACATATACTTTATGCATCCGTGAAATATTTTTATATTTCACTTCTTCTTTCACAGAAGTACAATACTTTTTAAACAATGGCATTGCTTTTATTAGGTAGGTGGATTTTACATGTGTTTTTTCAAACATTATTTATAATTTTTGGTCACCCTCCATTACTCTCTACGACTTCCTATATTACAAATTGTTTTTATAAAATTCTCCACTTTCCAACGATATATTATACGTATACCCTCTGACTAGTATTTCCGGTAATTCGTTTTCGACCTGGATAAGCATTTTTATTTCTTTTCTCGTTTATTTAATTATCAAATTCTTTCAAAAGTTATATTTAACATTTTTTTGTAACTCTTAATAATGAGAGATAGTTAATTATTTAAAATAAACCATATTAAAGGTACCTTAGAGGAAGGCACATGTGAACATTGGGCATTTAAGCCCGGTAAAATGACATCATCGGGGATAAAACCTACATGATATTGAAGAATACTTAATTATGCAATGATAAACCGAGTTTAATCAAAATAGCTTTTGCCGTTTTTGAGAAAATTGAGAAAAAATGTGGATAACCGTTCATATAAAGTGCCACTTCTGGTTAGCCGATTTTGACGAAAAAGTTGCTGTAACATCTGAGGTATATATAAACCTCAAGGCGCAGTTTCACTTTCGTAACTGAATCATAAATGAGAACTATTTGCCTTGCCTTAATTTAAGTTTCGGAAAGTTGCCTAAACATATATATTTTTTTTTCCATCCTCTCTCAATTTTCAAAGATAAAAAGGGTGTAGGTTACAACTTATAAGTTATTTTTTACTGCTAAATACAAAGCCACATATAAGGCAGCCTAACTCAATAGCGAACTATTTAACCTTTTTTTTTTCTGAACGATCTTATTATTTGAAGTACCCCATTTCGCCAATAAAGGCCTCAAATAATAGTTAATTAAATGTCGGCAAAATTAATTAAAAAGGCATTTTAAATCCTTTGATTGAATCCAATCGCTAATATTCTCTGAAATGGTTACAATAAAAGAGAAAAACGACATCCACTTCGGTTTTCCTCCTAGCGGTAAATTTCCCCAGCGATTGGTTAATTGGAACTTGCTGGTAATAGGAGCACCTGGGCCCAGTTCGTTCAATTCATTGAGCAAAAACCAAGCTCCGGTTGTTGTCACCATTGAATCACAGTACAAGCCGTGCGTTGGAACATTTCTAGAGTCTCGAACGTTGCGCAATCAGTATTGCGAGTTCATTACAGGTTCTGCCCAAGCTAAGCTATTCGCTTTTATGGCTACTTTTCAGGGAAATACAAAATAGCCCATTAAGCGAAAATCCGCCGTAATATAAAGCTCTCGAATCAGAGAGAAATATTTTATTGAAAGTAATATTTCCCTACTATATAGGATTGCTTTATACACAGCATAATAATCAATCCTATTTGAACATAACTCTTGCATTCTATTATTTTTTTATTAATATTGCTCCATTTTCAAAATATTATTTCGTGTAATAATATTTTTATGTAAACCTCAACCGTAGTCGCTAGATGGATATGAGAGGAATTTGATGAATTGGTCGATCTCCAAAGATAAACTCAGTAACTTCAAATAGTCCACATTATAGCAATGTAAATAAGTCATTTACAGTCAATTGGATCAGAGCAAGTACTGATTACTATCAGCAAATTATGGTTTTGCTATGTCTTATCTCCAAAAAAGGGATGATATTAAAGTTGCTACTTTTTGGGATGTTTAAGTTTATTCGAGATGCCACTGGATAATTACCGATGATAATTACCCAGAATTATTTAATAATAAAAAACTAGTAAAATAAATTTGGATTTATGATATATTGATTGGTCCAGAATTAATGAATTGGATTTCTTTTCTCAAAGGCTGGTTTGTGTTTATCATGCTTTCTAATTGTCAGTATTACCTGTGATTATAATGATATAAAATGGGTGGCATGATTAAAATATCTTTTACTTAAAAAACTTATTTTATTTCTATATTTAATAAAGAATATAATATACAAATAATATTTACAAGAATTACAAATTATCTTTACAAGAATCAATGAATTCAACAATTAACTGTGAAGGCATGATTTCAGATGGACCGTTTTGAAATTTATATTGCCATG